AACAAGTACTTGGGCAGATCATAGACCAATGACAATTAAATGGAAGGGACAAAAAAAAAAGATCGAGATGGACATTAAACAATATTATCTTAAAGGAAAAAGATTTTACACAATGGATGGAGAAAGAATTGGCTTTTTTCTTTAGAGAAAATAAAAAAGAAGATACTTCAACGCAGAATGTTTGGGATACAATGAAGGCATATGTTAGAGGTTTGATAATAGATTATATAAGAAAAAAGAATATTAGGAAAAGGCAAGCCACTAAGACCTTGGAAGATGAGTATAAAAGACTTGAAAAAGAATTATAGAAAATGCCACAGAAAAAGGATATTAAATTGAAGTTGGATATAACTAAACATAAAATGGAATTAATAGAGAAAGAAGAACTGGCACAGAAAATTAGAAATGCTAAACAGAATTATTTTGAAGATGCAAATAAACCAGGTAGATGGTTAGCATATAAGTTGAGAATGGAGAAAGAATCAAGAAAAATATTGAAGTTAATAGATGATCAAGGCCAAGTCTGTTATGGTAATAAGGAGAAAAAGGAAATTATTCGAGATTTCTATGGGCAACTATATAAACAAGAGAATATTGACGAGGAAAAAGTCAAACAGTATCTACAGAATGCTAACTTACCGAAGATACCTAAAGAGACTGAAGAAATGCTAGAAAGCAACATAACAATGATGGAATTAACTGAAGCACTTAAGAAACAAAATAATGGGAAAGCACCAGGTCCAGATGTGCTTCCGGCAGAATTCTATAAAACATTTCAAGAATCATTGAGCATTCCATTGCTAGAAGTGATGAATGAAGCTATGTCAAAGAAGATGATACCCAAAACATGGTCAGAGGCTTATATTACACTTATTCCAAAAGAAGAGGCTGACCCACTGCAAATTAAGAACTATAGACCTATTTCTTTATTAAATGCAGACTATAAAATCTTTGCTTCAATTTTAGCAGAAAGACTTAAAAAATACTTAAATAATTTCATACACCCAGACCAAAATGGATTTTTGCCAAAGAGACAAATCAGAGACAATATGAGAGTAATCTTGGATACTTTGGAATACTATGAGGCACATCCTGAAAAGCAAATGGCTTTGATATTCCTAGATGCTCAAAAGGCATTTGACAACGTGAACTGGAGATTTATGTTATTACTATTGGAACAGATGGGTTTCGCCAGAAAATTTATCCAAGCAATAGAAGCCATATACAATAAACAGACAGCAAAGGTAATGATGGAGGGAGAACTTACAGACTTTATCAATATAAGAAAAGGCACAAGACAAGGATGTCCCCTATCTCCTTTGCTATTTGTATTGACTTTGGAAGTGTTGAATAGAAATATTAGAGATGATAAAAGCATAAAAGGAATGAAAATTAAAAAGGAAGAATTCAAACTGCAAACCTTTGCTGATGACTTAGCCTTTATTTTGGAAGATCTGTTAGAAACAGCTCCAAAGTTATTGGAAAAGATAGAGATATATGGTGAGGTGGCTGGTTTGAAAATAAATAAAGACAAAACAAAGATTTTGACAAAGAACATGCTACTGAGACAAAGAGAAGAACTGGCAGACCTGTTGAAAATCCAAGTTATGAATAAGGTCAAGTATCTGGGGATACATTTGACAGCAAGATGTAGCACATTAAAAGAGAATAATTATATTAAACTTAAACAACAGATAGCTACAGACTTGAAGAAATGGGAAAACTTGCAATTATCATTAATAGGGAGAATTTCAACAATTAAGATGAATATTTTACCCAGAATCCTATTTCTGTTTCAAACAATACCAATTAGGCTCGGAAAAGACTATTTTGATGATTTAAATAAAATTATGTTGAAGTATATATGGCAAGGTAAGAAAGCGAGAATAAAGCTAAAGCTTTTGCAAGATGCTAGAATTAGAGGAGGTTTTGGCCTGCCCAATTGGGAATTGTACTATCAAGCTGCAAGTTTGATGTGGGTTAAGGAATGGATAACATTAAGAAAGACTAGATTGTTGACACTAGAAGGTCATGATTTGCTGTTGGGTTGGCATGCTTTTTTATGGTATAAAGGAACTAAAACACAGGGTTATTTTAGAAGACATTATATACGGGAGTCTTTGTGGTTAAACTGGGAGAAGATAAAAAGACAATGTTATTTGAAAATTCCAGTTTGGTTATCGACTATTGAAGCATTTTCCTATCCTATAATTTATAAGAAGGAACAAAAAGTTAGATATGGGGAACTATTGGATGAAAAGGGTGAACTTAAATCGATACAAAATTTAGAGGAACAAGGTATAAAGATGAATTGGTTTTCATATGCGCAAATACATTCAAGGTATGATGAAGATTCTAAAACAGAAGGATTCTATGATAAACAGACTGATCTAGATAAGATCTTGATGGGTACTGATGAGAAGGTGATTAAAAAATTATATGGTTATTTACTGGGAATTAAATTAGAGGAAGAACAAGTTAAAGAAACTATGATTGTTTGGGGGAAGAATTTTGGATATGGGATTGATTTAGAGAAATGGCAAAAATTGTGGTCTCAAAATTATAAAATGACAATGTCAACAGCATATAAGGAAAATTTGTATAAGATGTTTTACAGGTGGCACTTTCCCCCGACAAGAATAGCAAGAATGTTCAAGAACAAATCTGAAAAATGCTGGAAATGTCATCAGATACCTGGCTCATATTACCATATGTGGTGGACTTGTGAGGACGCTAAAAAATATTGGACTAAAATTCGCATGTGGTTGGAAAAAAATGACAAAGAAACGTATAGATTTGAAACCGGAGTTCTTTTTATTGGGAATCTTACCAGATACATACAGTAAAGACTTGAAATATCTGATTGTAAATGTATTAACAGCGGCTAGGATTGTATTTGCTAAAAACTGGAAGAATGAGAAAATACCATCACAGGAAGAAATTATTAAGAAAATATTGGAATGTGCTGAGATGAGTAGATTGACATTTGAAATTAGAGAGCAAGAGGATAAACAATTTTATGAAATTTGGGATCTTTTTTATCAATGGCTAGATGACAAAATACGATAATAGAATATTTAGAATGTTAGACAGCAAGGAATACCTTTATTTTTTCTTTCGCCTTTGTTATTTGACATTATATCTATAAAGTGTTTCTACGATAGATTTGGTATGATTATATGATTTGTTATAGAATAAACTGTTTAAAGTATTGTTATCTCATAAAGCATGAATGATTAAAAGTATAGTCAAATGATTTTTTAATAGCGATATTAGGATATATAAGTTTGGATTGACAATATGAGTTGTTATGTAACATAACTGTAATTGAGACTACGAAATGAATGCACAAAACTGATGAACCAACCGACACACTGTACGTACATAAGAGGGTTGATGTTTTAATGTTTTGTTTGTTTTGTTTGTTTGTAGAAAATCAATAAAATTGTTTTTTTTTTTAAAAAAAAAACTAGCCAGCAGGAGATAAGCAGTTTTCAATCCGAAGAGTTGGTGATGGTGTGGGGGAGGATGAAGACACAGGGATGTAAGGATGGTTCCTATAGCAGAAAAACTCCGTGGAAGAACTTTAAGACAAGGCAGCTCACTACAGCTGTCCCAAACAGTTTAGGGTTTTAGAGATAAACAGCAGGGAAATACAATGCTTTTGATAAAATGATATCCCATTCCCCCATCCCATAGCAGACCTTTTAGTTTAATGAAGGAAATGTAACATACTCATAGTTTAATGACAATATTATTGTTGATGGGAAAACATTTTCTTTTCCATTTGCATAACTTCATAAAAATAAAGTTTTCTTTTATGTGGTACATTTACTGTGGGAGCTTTCAGGGAGCTTATTTTGACATGTGATGCTTTATGATACAAGAGATTGCCCTGTATTGAACTGACAGGTACTTTTCTTAGGTTACTTACTTTAGTAAGTCATGCAATATAGTGAGCTATTATACCATTAATAAATTCAAACCAACTTTGAAAAGTAAGGTGTTAGTGTGAAGTTTAAAATATCTATTTTCCATTCTGTCTTATAGATACAGGTAACCCTCAATTTAATACCATAACTGAATCCGAAATTAGGGTCATAAGTCATTGCTGTCGAATGTTGAGGCATCGTGTGACTGGACCCAATTTTTTTGACATTTTTGAAATGGTTAAGTGAACACCATGATGGCTAAGTAAATGCTGCAGTTGTGAAGTGAATCAATTTTCCCCAATGGGCATTTTTTTCCAGGCTCCAATTACAAATTTTGGTCACATGATGCTTCATACAGCTGTAAATGTGAGCTGGCTGCCAAGCACACAAAAATGCAATTGTGTAATCGAGTATGGCCATTGTAACTTTGAAAATAGTCATAAGTAGTTTTTTTTGGGGGGTGGGGGATTATGTCTTAACTTCAAACAGTCACTAAGTGACCAGTTGTAAGTTGAGAACTACCTGCATCTGTAACATTGTGTAGATTGTATTTAAGCCAACTCTGCCATCTCTGGCATGAAGGCTAAGGGCACATTTTGATGAGACCTTGGTTGCTGTCCTTGCAGTCTTATCTAGAGATGGGGAAACTTCTAGCTGAGCAATAAAGACCTCAGCTTTATTAAATAAGAGGGCTCTGACTTTGGATGGGGGCAATGAGATTAGAAGAAGAGTTGATTTGATGGTTCAATCAACATAGTATGCACAGGATTATGGCTGAAACACCTGAAGGATTTGCTAATTACTCTGAGCTACTTATTTTTTGGAAACTGACTTCTGAAAGTTGAATATGTAATTGAACAGTTACATATTTTGTTGCCAATGTATGGGAAAATTTGAATCATATTTGCAAACTGCTGATTTAAGCCGGGTTTGTATCCTTTGATATCATCAATTCTGCCTTCTTTCCATTGAGAGGGACCCTTTCCAGCACCATGAATAATGGGAACTTTCTCTCCTAGATCTTGTAAAAACTGTTTCCCTAATATATTTTTCTTGCTTTCCCTGCAGTCTCTGCTATCCCTCCCATGCTCAAATCCAAAGAAGACAACGTAACTTTGTGTGGTCATATCAGTTCTTCTGCCCCTCCACTGACTGAATTGTGCTGGGTTTATGTAAATGATTCTACGACTCAGCCCAAATGTGGCTCTCCCATTTCAGAGAATAAATTCTGTCACGTAGCTACAACTGAAGGGCTCTGGAGGTGTGATCTCAAAGTGAACAACGATGTTAAAATCAGTATTGACTATATTCTGGGTAAGTTCCAGGGTAAGTAACACTACCATCTTGTTCCTGTCTCTGTTTCTGTGCACATTCTGTTCTCCTCAACTTCCAATCTTTTTTTTTCCCACAGGAAAGACCTTAAATGAGACTACTTTAGAGAATAGATTCTCACTGATCAAAATAGCCTCAGGAATTGGTGCAATGCTTCTGCTGTTAATTCTTGTTGGTGTCTGTGTACCTACTTGTAAACGTATTAAGCAGAAACAGGTGAGTTTCTTCATGTCCATAAACTGAAAGGGAGGTCGGGTTCTACAACAAAAACAAATGGAAATAGATCTGAAGAAACATGAAAAGAGAAGAATCTTTCTTTTATTTTTGGCAGCAACAAGCCAAGAAGATGGCACAAATTAAGCAACATTTGCTTGCCAAGAGGACATGCCAATGTCAGAGGTAAGAGTCCAGTTGCCCAGCCAAGAGGAAGACATCATGGATATTCTTTTGAAAGCCTTTGATTAAGCTGCCCTGGGAGGAATCAGTCTATCTGGACCTGCGATCCAGCAGATCCAAGACACTACAGTTATTATTCTTTACTAGAAAGAAATATTGTGTCTAATAGCTTCCTTTTCTCTTGCAGTAACAAACCAGAATCAAAATGCCTTAAAACAATAAACCTATTGTGCCTTTAGCTTTCAGCTCTGCCAATTAAAATTTGTCATCTGCTTGTTATTTGGCTAAAATTACACTTGAATTGGCTACCAGTTAAATCAAATAAAGCTTGCAGACTTACAGAAATTCAGAAATAAATCATGTCTAAATTAGACAGCCATGCAATTTCATCAAAGGTCTCATGAGCAATCATCCTTCAACGATTCACTATTATGCTTTTTAAAAACAGGAAGTATCCCACTGTGCAGTTTATATTGCAAAACCAAGTACATTTATCTACAGGAAATCTTAAACACTCCCATGTTTTCCACTGAGCCTAAATTTTGGATAACTCTTTTTCCACCCTACAGGGACCTACCAATTGATTACTACCATACCTGAAGAAGAAAAATCACATGTTGAAAAATCACTGGCCTGACCATTAGCCAATCATTGACAATGCACAGTTACACAAATTCAAATACTGTTGGGTTGCCTTAACTTTCTATCTGATATTCATAGTGCTGTAATCATTTGGGCAAGTCTGTATTTTGAAACTGTGGGACTTGCAGAAAATATTGGTCAAAAAGGTTTCACCGTAGTAATTAGTTCTAAGTTGTCTAATAGCCAAATGCTCTTTGAACTGATCTGCAATTCTGCTGTCTACTGCAACTGTAAATAAAGATGTGTGTTCTTTGTTTTAAAATTCCTGACCCAGAAATAAAATACTTATATCTTTCCCCCCAACTTCACTGGTTAATTCATGTATATGTCTACAGATATTTGTTTGCATTTATTGTTTAGTTTGCAATCTTTTTTGAGAAAATATTCTATCATTTAAAAAAGAAATATTTTTAAATGTATATTAACAGCCATGATGTAATTATGATGCTAATAAGCTTAATGCATTTCAAAGGGCAAATTCCTTTTTACTGTTTGGAAAATGTTGGTGGTGGGTGGGGAGGAAGAGGGGCTTCTGCATTCTGAAAGTTGCTTCTAAGTAGAGAATTTCTCTCATGAGATACAAATATTATTGGAAAACTATCTCTGATCTATCTTGGCCCTTTCAACTGTTTTGTTTGTTCCTTAAAGCAGGGGTCTCCAAACTTCAACTCTCAGAATTCCCCAGCCAGCAACCACAAGTCTTAAAGTTGCCAAGTTTGGAGACCCCTGCCTTAAAGCCCCCTGCCCTTTTCTATCTCTTGATATGCATCACCATCACAGCTCTAAGACGTAAGTATTGAATGGAAACATAGGGGAAAATTCCTGTTGCTTGGCTGTTTATTTTAATGATCTCCAATGCTTATGCACAAAAACAAGAAGTAAAAGTGCCTGTATAAATCCCACTGATGTTTGTGAATAATGACATTTGAAATCTCAAGGTCTGAAGAGAGCCATGTATATATCTTACTGTTAATAAAACATTCCTCAAAAACCTTCGTGTTCCAGTTTTTCTTTAGCATTGGACTGCAAAAGATGCCATTTCTGAGGCCCGCTGCGATTTCAGAGTAGCTAAATCAAGTAACTGGACGATGATTGGAGGGCTTCAGCATGAGATTAGATGAGCCCCAGGAAAATTGCCAGTCATATATAATTATAATCCAAATTATTATTATTATTTTTATTTTTATTATTACTATTATTGTTGTTGTTGTTGTTGTTGAATTTATATTGCTGCTATTTATACAGTCTTAATATAGTCAAGGCAGAAATGGAGCCTGCTTTGGGACTTTCAACAACTTTCAACAAGATGCAGTCCTATCTCAATCTCAAACCTGATTGTGTTCTGGTATAGCCATAAGCAGGCAGCAGCTGCCTAGAGTGGCAGAATTTTATTTTATTTTATTATTTTATTTTATTACGTTTTTCTCCTTTTTAGACTGATGCTGTAACTATTAGACAAACTGGCTGTGATTCAAATTTTTTATTCATATCGAGCTGCTTCAATCTTTAAAAGACCGTAAATTATGCAGAAAAGACAACGGCAACTAGCCAATGCAATATCAAGATATCTTGATTACTGTACCATAATCTATGATTATCGTATTAGATTAGAGCATGATAAATACTTTTGGATTTTGATAACTCCCACCGACACCATTTAAGCTCCCAGGACATCCAGATCTCCACCACTTCCTGGAAAGCCATGCCAAGGGAGGAGGGTCACCCAGACCTGAAGGGAGGGAAGCTACAGTTTTCTAGAAGCTCCCACAGAGTATGCCAGCTATCTGCCCCTACTCGCCTGACACTGCTGCTGCAGCCCTTCTGATCACCACTTTATCATAGAAACTCCATAAAAAACCAGCTTATGCTCCACAGAGGCAAGAGAACAGCAGGCACCTTGCACTTCCATTTTCATTTGAAGGGCAGCCAAAGCCCCATCCCTGCAGAGAAATGGAAACCGTGTTTTTGGACCTCCACAGGCTTCAGAACTGAGTCATCGCCAAAAATTGCCATATCCAGCTGGGAAACAAGATAGATTGTTCTCTCTTTCTGGGGGTTATATATTTCAGCAGCCCCAGCTGTTACATTTTATTAAATAGATTATTTAAATAACCACTTTCCATGAATTAGATCAAACCGGATACAGGTGAGATTGTATCAGTATCAACCATAAGATGGCAGCAAAGAGATACAGAAAAGTGGTCATCTGGTTTTGTTTTTTTTAATAACCCAGATCTGGTACCTTGTACTGATGTAACCTGCTCAAGCTACTCCATCCTGGATAATGAGCCCACAGTCGCCATTACTGTTGGGCCTCTGATTTCTATTTCAGTCCAAGGCACCAGAACAGGTCTCCTTAGTGGAATGCAGCCACCAACACTTTAACTATACAGATGTTGAGATGGGGTGGGAGGAGGCTAGGTCCCACAAACACATACTTGAGCCCAGGGAGCGCTACTCACTTCGACATAGCCCTTGGTTTCTCAGAAAGTAAACTACGACCTTAACCACCAAAAGATTGTCTATAGAGGAATGTAAAGATGTCCTTGAAAAAAAATATACAGCAGCCATTACAAAGTCATTAGTTGAATGAGGGACAAACTCAAGATTGGTCCACCTTGATTCTCTTGGGATTAAGAGGGAGGGAAGATTTTGATATTATAGACCAGAGGTGGGGAATGCTAGCCCATTTATGACTTGTGGACTTCAACTCCCAGAATTCCTAAGCCAGCATGGCTAGCTCAAGAGCATGGCTAGCTCAAGAATTCTGGGAGTTGAAGTCCACAAGTCATAAAAGGGCCATCATTCTCCACCCCATATAGATAATATCAGTAGAGCAGGGGTGGGATTCCACCAGTTTGCACCTATTCGCTAGAACCGGTTGTTAACATTCTAAGCAGTTCGGAGAACCGGTTGTTAGAAGAAATTACTGGCCTAATCCTATAAGGAAGGCAGGAAGGAAACATTCTGGTGTTGCTTACAGAAACTGCCTCTCCGTTAAGCCTTATTACATTCTTGGCAGGACTGGACTTCCTATCTCAGGAACTTTTCTGGAGTTTTTTGTCCCCTTCTTTGCTAGTACTTTGCTTGTGTGGAGTGATCATTCAAAGTTACAATGGCAATGAAAAAAGTGACTTATGACCATTTTTCACACTTACGACTGTTGCTGCATCCCCACAGTCATGAGAGGCCAGGCAAGGAGATGCATGCCTCAATGTGACTGATATTGAGTTGGCCACGCCCAGCCAATAACATGACCAAGCCATGTCCACCCAATCACATGACCACTAAGCCACGCCCACAGAACCAGTTGTTAAAAAATTTGAATCCTACCCCTGGTTCTCAGTGTGCTAAAGTCTTTTATTTATTTCTTATTTTTTAAATCTGATATAACAGTTGCAGGAATTGGATATGTCTAGTCTAGTGAAAAGAAGGACATAGGGGTGACATGATATCAGCGTTCCAATATCTAAGGGGCTGCCATAAAGAAGAGGGAGTCAAGCTATTCTCCAAAGCATCTGGAAGCAGGACAAGAAGCAATGGATGGAAACTAATAAAGCAGAGAACCAACCTAGAACTAAGGAAAAATTTCCTGACAGTTAGAACAATTAATCAATGGAATTGTCTGCCTTCAGAACAGTAGGTGTTCCATCACTGGAGGTTTTTAAGAAAAATTGGATAACCATTTGTCTGAAATGGGTTTCTTGCTTGAACAGGGGTTGGACTATAACTCCAAGATCCCTTCCAACTGTGTTACTCTGTTATTCCCTGTCCTTTGCAGCTATTTTCCAAGCATATCCCTTCGTTTTCAAAATATAAAACAAAACTATACGAACAGGTTGCTTCCTCATCTATGTGGTTATTGTTGACCCAGTCATGGGTGGCTATCTGCCTGGTTTCTCTTGGCCATTTCAGGGTTCTCCAGGCACCCTGCTTTTTCTCTGATTCCTGGGATTGGTCTCTTTGACCATTTTGGCTTAGGTGCAAGAGAAATTGGACAGCTGGCTTCCACGGAGCAGCTGCCTGCAAAATGCTTGGCTGCTGCTTTTAGAAGCTCCCGTCAAATCCTTCATACACAAGTTTCTCATAATTTCTCAGACTAATAGGAACCTCTCCCCACTAAGACAGAAGGGCCAAAAGAGGGCTTGCCAATAACGCCAGCACAATTTATATTGGATGTCACTCTTTCTTGGTGGCTCAACACCGTTCAAAGTCTAAAAATTGAGAAGTAAACAGGTAAAGGTTTCCCTTGCCCAGTTGGGTCCGACTCTAGAGGGATGCTTATCTCCGTTTCTTATCCGAGGGACCCAGTGTTCTCCAAAGTCATTTCTGTAGTCATGTGATCAACATGATTATATGCCGAGGAGCACAGAACACTGCTATCTTCTCACCAATTTGATACCTATTTATCTATTCACATTTGCATGCTTTGGGAGTGCTAGGTGGGCAGGATCTGGGGCAAATGACAGGAGCTCATTCCATCATGCAGTGCCTCTTGCTGACAATCTTCTGGTCAGTAAGCCCAGCATCTGTATAATTTGCCTACCTTAGTTAAAATGTTAACATCCAGAAACAGAAATTAATTGGTCAAAGATACTTTGGGAGTTGATCACAACGTCTTGGCCTCTGGAGGAAGATTCCTGAGGAGCAACTGCAGAGGGTCAGGCACACCCCCAGACAATGGTTGGCACCTTTGGGAGCTCCCCTGCTGTGCCATGGCCAAGTCAAAAACAGCATTTATTTATTTATTTTTATTTATTTATTTATTTATTTTATTTTATTTGCCAATTGTTTACAAGATAATAAGTATAAGAGTATACATAGTTGTGAATACATGAAATGGGTACATATATGAAAAATAAAAGAATAAGAGAAACAATAGGACAGGGACGGTAGGCACGTTGGTGCGCTTATGCACGCCCCCTACAGACCTCTTAGGAAAGGGGTGAGGTCAATAGTAGACAGTCTAAGGTTAAAGTTTTTGGGGTTTGGGGAAAAAACTACAGAGTCAGGTAGAGTATTCCAGACATTGACCACTCTATTGCTGAAGTCGTATTTCCTGCAATCAAGTTTGGTGCGGTTTACTTTGAGTTTGTATCTATTGTGTGCTCTTGTGTTGTTATGGTTGAAGCTGAAGTATTCACTGACAGGTAGGACATTGCAATGTATGATTTTATATACCATGCTTAAGTCAGACCGAAGACGGCGTAATTCAAGGTTTTCTAGTTCTAGAATTTCAAGTATGGTGGCATAAGGTATTCTACAACGAGTAGAGGAGTGGAGAACTCTTCTTGTGAAATATTTCTGGACTTTCTCAATTGTGCTAATATCAGATACGTAATGTGGATTCCAGACTGATGAACTGTATTCGAGTATTGGTC